AAGACTTACTGGCACTTGATCTCCTACGAAAATCGCCAAATATGGACTAGTAATATAGATTATAATTAAAAAAAATCAGATAGTATAAGTAAAGTTTCTATGATTTTCGAAATTTGAACGCGTTATGCATTCCAAGCAAGGTAGGGATTGTTTGAGTTATTTTAAACAAAGAGAAAAAAAAGTGACATTGGTAGATGTATCTATTCCAAAAAACGGCAAGACAACGAATATCTGTAGAATGATCTGGATTTTTTCCAGAGACCAGAAAATGTTGAGGAATGTGAAGGTGACATTTGCATCCATCCATTTCTGGTGCATTTGGAGCTGTCCCAAAGAAAATTGTTTTTTGAAAGTCGTACAAAAAATCGGACTAAGATATAAGTTAGTTAGACAGCTGCTTTATTGAAATCAGCTTGAAATTCGGAATAAAACGCTGAATTATTGGAGAGACATGCTATCACTTGATTCCCATTCAAAAGCTACTGCAACGAAAATTCATTTTAGAATACAGGATACGATGGGAAAATTGTCGCCATTTTATATTCTGAATTTCGCGCATGCGCGTTGTTTTTTTTATTTTATCGACGGCCTAGTATATTAGAGTCAGTTGGACACCATCTGTGAGAAAAAAGATAAACATGGCGTAATTCACTCGGCCAGAAATTTGGAAATGGCATGGTGTACTGCTTGGCATTTGCGCCGGAACCGCCAATAAGAACATTTCAGAGTGTTTGGGTGACAGTGCATAGGATTCAGAAAGAGTTAGATGTGTCTAATGGTGATTACGAATGTGTTTGGGGTGATAGCAAGTGATGGCGTCGTTATGCGTCCATTCATATTCCTACAGTGTCTCAGACTCAATACGGAGGTCTACATCAATTGCCTTGAGGTGGTAGTGAAACCTTGGTCCAAGAGGGTAGCTGCTGGAATACCGTATGTCTGCCAACAGGACTCTGCCCCATGCCACACAAGCAGGAGAACCCAGTCATGGCTGTCAGATAATTTCTGCGACAACATCACCCCTTACATCTGACTACCTAACTCCACAGACTGCACCCCGCTTGATTATGATGTGTGAGGAGCTAGACGCCAACAAAACACCTTATAACACCAAATGTCGACTGAAGGCAAGGATTATGGTAGCATTCACCGACTTAAGCAAGGAGACCGTCCAGACGAGATGCGGGGGATACCGATGGAGGTCTGGAAACCGAGATTGAAGCCAATGAGGATTTTATTGAATAAATTTACTCATTAATATTTCAAGATATTTTTGTGTAATATTAGTAAATATATCTGTTCAAATGAGATGTCAGTGTTATTCTTATTTTTACGTAATTTAGACGACAATTTATCCATCGCAGCCTGTAATACTAAATTTTCATACATTTTTACGTGTTAAAATTTGATATTAATTTCGAGGCTCTTGTGCGCAAGGAGGAATGATTGTAATTTATTGAGAGTCGTAAAATAAAGCTGGTATCGATTTGAAGAATTTGGTACATAATAAACCATGGAATTATTTTTTCCAATAACGGAAATATTGCACGAAATTCCTCAGAACTAAAAATGATTAAAAATTGCTCAAGTTTGAATATTTCAATTTGTTAGCATAGAAGTGAAATGTCATAAAACACATAGATATATAACTTTTTAGTGGATACTCTAAAGGAGTAGACGCTTCATTTATTTATTAAACAGTATATTTCTTTATTTTCGTATAGCGGACTGAATATTGGGGAAAACTTATTAGATGAGAATATGCGCTCTCCAGCAGAATTCGAACGTGCGTCCCCGTACGAGGAAACCGTTATTACATCCAATGGGCTTTGGCCTCTCGACTATAGAGTGCGTCGATGACAAATAAAAAATTGCATCCCATAGGTATAGATAAATAGGTAGTTAACACTCAGATAGATAGATAGATAGATAGATAGATAGATAGATAGATAGATGGGAATTGGGGGACAGACAGACAGACAGACAGACAGACAGAAAGAAAGAAACTGGAAGGATAGATAGATAGATAGATAGATAGATAGATAGATAGATAGATAATGAAGAGATTAGGATAGATAGATAGATAGATAGATAGATAGATAGATAGATAGATAGATGATAGATAGATGGGAATTGTGGGATAGACAGAAAGAAAGAAAGAAAGAAAGAAAGAAAGAAAGAAAGAAACTGGAAGGATAGATAGATAGATAGATAGATAGATAGATAGATAGATAGATAGATAGATAATACTGAGACAGATAGATAGATAGATAGATAGATAGATAGATAGATAGATAGATAGATAGATAGGAATTGGGGGATAGACAGACAGACAGACAGACAGACAGAAAGAAAGAAAGAAAGAAAGAAAGAAAGAAAGAAACTGGAAGGATAGATAGATAGATAGATAGATAGATAGATAGATAGATAGATAGATAGATAATACTGAGGTAGATAGAGAGATAAATAGATATGAACAGACTGAGATAGATGGATACATGACTAAACAAAAATGAAAATATTATACAATTCAAAATAAGAATAATTAATAAACATTGCAATTTCTGAAACGATTTCATTAAATTTCAATGTCATATTTTTAATAAGAACTCCATGAAATCAGGGAAAGAATGAAATAATAAACGTTGCTCAGATTTAATCCTAGTAGGAAGATTAAAATGCGAAATTAAAGTAAAAATCTAATACAATGAAAACCAATTTTATCTAAATCTAAAAAGCGTTTATATTGCATATCAATTATTTATTTTTCAACAGATTATTTTTTGGCGTCAATACACATAATTTTAATAGTGAATAGAATTCATGCCGGTCAAAAATCTAATTTCTGCTAAAATGAAAATCTATTCATCGCTCTTTATATATATATATATATATATATATATATATATATATATATATATATTTTTAACAACATGAAAAATAAAATGTCGTTCAAACGTAGCACTTCAGAATGTTTTAATCTAACTTCTGCTAATTCTATTCCTCGCTCCTGATATATATATATATATATATATATATATATATATATATATATATATATATATATGCGTGCTGGCGTTGTTCAAATTGTTGGTCACACTAGATAACAACTGTAACTAAGGTCTGCTCAGCATTGTTGCTGTATAAACCACAGGTGGGCTCTGTGGGTGTCGAATGTTCTTGAACGAGCGTCTGCAATAGGGATTGGGTAGCCGCCCTAGTAGTCAGGTATCCTCGAATACATGTGACCAGCTATTATTTTTTTTATTATATATATATATATATATATATATATATATATATATATATATATATATATATATAAACACATAGAAAAAAAAATACAGGGTGGAACAGGTAATTCAGAACAAGTATCTTCAATAAAGAAATCAGTATATTTCGTATTCAAAACAAAATGCATCGTAAATGGTCAAAACTTGAAAAAAAAAATACAACATATTAAAAATCATTTGAAAATGGCCGAAAGCGCTTGAGACAATGGGAAATACGGACAAATTTTACACTCCCTTACTCTCACTATACGGGAAAAAAATGTAAGGATTCTTGTTAAAACTAACATATTTTTTGATCCTTTATGAATCTTTGGTTTAAAGTTGTGTTTTTCTTGCGACAACGGGGACCAAAAATTAATGTAGGCAACTTTAGCGTATTTTTTTTTTTTTTTTTGCGAAAAACACGTTTATTAGGCATTAAATTACATCACTCAGCATCTTCCATAGATTACCACGACATTTACAGTTAGCCGTAAGGATATCTTTGTACGTTCTTTAATTTACAATATGGAAAACCATACGATGGTTTTACTCCTTTTTTTTTGAAAACAAATAGATGTTGCAAAATAAAATCCATACATTTACCTAGAGAAAGTCTATCACAGGAGGAGACGAGTTACGTTGCTCAAGAAAAGTTTTACTTTTAACTTTATTCCTATATATCATACATAGATAAACTATTTTTTTTATTCCTATATATTATACATAAATTATGAATTATTTCTATTCCTATATATCATACATAGACAAAATAAATTGCGGCGTACTAGTCGAGTTTTCACGCCTAAAAAATATTTCCAAAACTAGGGGTCGACTTATATGGCGGGTATAAAATACAAACCTTTACTACAGACTTGTAAACAATTGGGACAACACTCCTAACAATTACTGTACGCAAGCGTATACCCAGTAGGCTGCCACAAATATATCTCACTAAATCTTGGGAACATATTTGGCACATTAATACAGAAATTGATATAAAATAGTAACACAAATTCAGTTTAAATATTCACTAAGTTATATCGATATCATACACGGTAAAACCGGTGTGTATTATAGGTGGTTTTCACTACAACGCAAATACGTAGAAAGATATTAAGAATCGGTATACAGGTAAATGGTGTGACCTTATGTCGTTTGTTGACAGGTATTCGTATAATGTAGCATAACTTAATTTACCAGTCGGTCTAATTTTGGGCCCTGGTAGCCTACCGTATATTTGGTGGTCGACTTACACGGTAGGTATAGATCTAACTCAAAAAATTAATTAAAATGCTTAATAGCGGTACCTTGTCTATCGTCTTTAATGAAACATGTATAAATGAGGGATAGCTGCCTAAATACACTATATATATATATATATATATATATATATATATATATATATATATATAAATGTGTGTATGTGTCAACTTTATTATAAATTATAATTATATATATATATATATATATATATATATATATATATATATATATATATATATATATATATAAAATGATTAAATGTAATTATTTATGTATATTTATACAGTGTAACCCGGATGCAAGAGAGTTGTCGGGGCCGGAGAAGAAGTCTCTTATATCCGGGGTTTCTCTTATATCCGGGTTTCTCTTATATCCGGGTTTGGTCTATTTTGTTTTGGTAAGTATGGTAACACTTTGGGACCAGAGAAAATCTCTCTTATATCCGGGTTTCTCTTATATCCGGGTATCTTATATCCGGGTTACACTATATATATATATATATATATATATATATATATATATATATATATACGAGATTACACTGACGTCAGGTTTGAGTGGTGACAGTCTATTTCCTGCTAGAGCTCAAGACACTAAAGCCTGAGCTGAAGCATGAAGCAGATTATCTATTCCACACTATCCCTTATAGTTATCACTTATATCTTACCTTAAAAACTATTGTCATATATATATATATATATATATATATATATATATATATATATATATATATATATATATATAGTCATCCCAGACAGACTGTATCGTTGTATCCCAGCTCATCAGTGTGACTAGACATCCGATCGCTTCAAGCCGTGGCCGAAACTTTAACGTTTAACGTCTGTAGTAATGAGTAAACTAGGAAGTTTTTCGTTTAACAATGACAGGATATTCATATCGGGACCAGGCAGATATGATTTTACATACAGTCGTGCGAATGGCTATGGATGCGAGGCTGTACGGCAGTATCCGATTGTGTTTCCATACTGTTTATCGTCGCGTTTCCGACTATGGATCGAGTAAGACCGCAAAGAACACATTCTACATTCTGTCGGAGATGACCAATGTATCAGCACAAGTCAAGTGGACCTAGCATGTCGTAAATCTCATAGTAACACATGGTTAGTACTTCAAGAGTAGGGCTTTTCACTATATGGTAACTGATCACATTGGAACGTTTTCCGCTGTTTTTTTTCATTTATTTTTGCAGAAACCAACGATCCCTTGTCAATGAGGTAACATTTGGATAAGCGATGGAATAACAAATTCACACAACCAACATTTGTTAGCGGATTGACATCCATATGGTACAATACAGGCTAGACGCCAGCATCACTTTACGATTAATGTATGGATTGGAATTTTAAGTAACTGTCCGATAGGTCCATATTTTATCCCAGCAGGAGTTGTCTACAGTGACTTTATTTCGAAGACACATCTAGACTTGCGAGAAGATGTTCCTCTGCTAGTAAGAAGACACGTGTGTTTCATGCATGATGAGGCTTCAGCTCATTTTGTTCACATTGTTTGCGATGGACTGACTGACATCTACCACGAAAGATGAATAAGTAGGGGAGGACCGGTTCCATGGTCTGCAACTTCCACCGGCTTCCAATCTTTTGGGGTTTTATAGGTAAAACCACCTAGTACAATTGGTTTATGCAGTAGACATTAATAATGCAGAGACGTTTCATCAGAGTGTCATGGCGGCCTGGGAAACTATTCGACACCGTGAGGGAGTATTTGAAAGGGTCTGCCAGCGGAGGACATTTTAAACAACTGTTATAATTTGATATGTTGAGGTACAACGATGACCTTTTGGACATGTTTTTATATGGACATTTTACCTTGTTTTGTAAAAGTATGTTTGATACACCTTGTGTATATGTGTGTATGTGTTCTGCCGGTAGGTGCACAGAAAGTAATATACTGTTTAATAAATGAATAAAAACCTAGCATCTACTCATATATGGGTATAAAAATAAGATTTAAGCAGCACACACACATTCATGCACACACGCACGCACGCACGCACACACACACACACACACACACACACACACACACACACACATATATATATATGAAGAAAAATGTACTGAAAAAACAAAAAAAAATCCTAATATGCGACTATGCTGTTTTAATGTTTAATGTCAACGTCGAACGTTTCGGTCTAATAGACCATCTTCAGTAAATATTCATAAAACATAATTAACATAGACCATATACAATTCAACATGAAAAAGACGATGGACATAAAAGCAATTTTTCATGTTGAATTGAATATTAGGATTTTTGTTTGTTTTTTCAGTATATTTTTCTTCATACTGTCGGATCTATATCCATATATTTGCTTACATATATATATATATATATATATATATATATATATATATATATATATATATCCAATACACCCCCAAACAAGATGATAATGTCAATAAGACACAGGAGATTATTGGGAGGAAAGAGAATGAAAGATTTTAGAAGGAACTAGAAACCTAATCCTAGACAGTAAAAAACAGGATAAACATCTACTCCCGTTCAAAAACCGGGGAGGAGTGCGAACCGGACGATGGGCGAACATATCTATCCCTACTGAGAATAAATAAATAAATAGTAAAGGAAATTATAGAGTTTAGACGGAGACTTTAAGAATATAGATTTAAAGTAGAATTTAGCAGGAACCGGAAAAACCATTTCTAAATAGAAAAGAGATAAACCTGAACTCCAGTTTGTATATATATATAAATATATATATATATATATATATATATATATATATTTCGCAGAGAGTACTGTTTCGCATGTGACTAGACATCCGAATACTTCAAGCCAGAACCGAAAGTTGACCGATTTGATGCCAGCCAGAGTTTCTACCATTGACATATCACCATTCGGGGAAGAGAAACAGCTAATTCTAGCGTATTGTTTTTACGAATGTAAACAAACGTTATCAATC